AGACACTGGAATCATGAAACTGTCTTTTAAAGATGCATTAGCATCACACTCTCCTGAAGGTGAAAGGAAAAATCAGACTAAACCACAAAATGGTCTATTATATAACATCCCCAGCTTCAACTGTGCTAAAATCCAGTAAATATACAGCAGTTAAAAGAGCATTTTAAAAACTTCTTCATAAGCTCAAATATGCTTTTATCATCCAAATAAAATATAGCTGCCAAGAGTGGTGTGACCCAAAAGGCATTTTCAAGGACCTAATCTACAGAGAGCTTGCCAAGGTCTGGATAAATATGTCTGGCAGAAAACAAGAACCACTTTAGCAACAGTTTTCTAATTTTAGTGCATCTTCTGTCCTTATTTCCTCTGGGCAAACACTATTAAAGTGACTGCAAGCATTCAGACTTCTACCATACCTAATAGTGGTCAAACACTAACTTCAAGTACAATAGCACAAAGCTGTTAAGCACAGCCTTGAGAAAATTAATTGGCATACAGCACTCAACAAAGAAGGAAGCACTGAAGATGTGAAGATATTACTCATTAAAAAATAAGATCATGGTGAAGCGTCTGCTTCTTCAGTTCCAAATTTCTATATGCCACTGTGAAGAGCCTAAGCAAAGCCACCAGCCCCCAAACAGGCTAATGACAGCAAAGACATGTTTCCAGAAGCAAAGATATTAAGCTCCCTCTGGATACGATCCTATTCCTGTTCGAGTCGATGGGAGATGTTTCATTGGTTTTCAGGGCAGAAACATGAGCTATAAATGACTCATCATTCTGAAGTCTGCCATGTGGTTGAGATATTATCCTGCCTCCAGATCTGAAAGTGAATCTCAAACCACACATGACCTTTTTTACCCCACCTGTTACTTACTTTGTTTTGATACAGCTTAAAAACTTAAAAAAAATTATCTGCGCACTACAGATTAAAAAGGCTTCGCAGTGCAGTCTCCTATTCCACTGGACTGCAAGGACTGCCCACCCACAATCGCCAAAGCTTGTTTCTGTTCCAGTTAAGGATCAAGCTAAGTTTTATCAAAATAAGTTGTCAGGTAGAGCACTCATCTTTAGAGACCAGAAGCAAACTATGTGCATAGAGGGAGCAAATACATGACTCTTCCATCCCACATCAGCACTGTCTGTCTCTCTTTCCCACTCATCTTTAGAAACCAGTATCTCTGTTTTGACACTTCAGAGATACAAGAAAACTCTTGAAGGAATTAAGCCTGAATGGAAAACCCCAAAGAAAACTGAGACAACAGAATAGTGAAGCCCAAGCAGACTAAGTTTCATCAATGACAAATCTGAAGATGAGTCTTGTCAGAGGACTCAATTATATAAGCATTTTGTCAGCTTTTTCACTGACAAAGAGGAGGAAATCTTCGCGTTAAACTAAGAATATATGCAGGACATACCATAGTCTCTTCTTTCCATTTATCTATCTGCAGATAGTTTGTTTCTTGAATTGTACACTTGAGTACACAACTCATTTTGCTTTCTGCTAAGGGTTATTCAGTGTGAAGAGTTATTCCAGGATCACTGGAAATTCAAAAATCCTGTTCTCCAAGGAGAGAGGCCCTGGGCACCCTCTGGGAGTGCGCAGACCACTAGAGAGGCAGGCAATCCAGAAAGTTGCAGTACGCTTCTCCTCTCCACTCCAAAACAAGTTTCCAAACTGATAAATTCAAGTGTTGGGAGAGATCTCCCAGTGCAGAAAGGGCAGCAGGTAAAGGTGCCCAAGCTTCAGGGATTGCCCAAAACTGAAACATACATTTTACTGATCGAAAAACCAAAAATCCCAGCACAAACTTGTACTCTGAAATAGGAGGGAAATGGGAAGGTTTCGGTTTTTCTGTAATGCAGACTGGTTTTGATAATCCTTCAGAGCAACCAGATGCCTAGAACAAAAGCAGGACAAGTTGCTGCAAGTTGGCTTCTTCACCAAGAGCAACATAGTCCTACTTCCACCCTGTAGCGTGATGAGCACTGTCCTGGAACGCAAACCTTTGACAGCACTTCTGACAGAGCACAGGCAGCATGCCATAAGGAAATCCATCCATTTCAATCAGGAATTGGGGCCTACAACTTCAATCCCCCAAAACCGTAATCTAATGCCTCCTTAAGCATTTCTTACGGAGCCTTCTAGCATGCCAATATAGCGAGATGTTAAGTGAGTCAGGGTATTAGAAAGAACCTGAGATGCTTTGTAAATAAATGCACTGCTGCTCAGAAAGCAGAAAAAAAAAGCCTCAAGTGTTGTCTTAAGAAAAACTGGGCCTAACAATCCCTGCTGTCCCTCTACGTGCATCCCTGCCCTTGCACTGCAGAATCAAATCTTCTCTCACTTGAGCTTAGGAAGGCTCCCTTGTCTCATTAACATCACTGTGCTCCCAGAAAGGCTCTGCTCTGCCCATTTTAAAAATGGTTATCTAGCCAAAACCTGCAGAGCAATGAGGTTGTATGTACCTTGCAGCACACAGCCTGCACCAGGGGACAACCCAAGCCCTGTTTTCCTGCAGAAGCGATCGGCCCCCATGGCAAGCCACCCAGCAGTGCAGCTGGCAGCTGCTGGCCCTGGATGCAAACAACAGCCAAAGACCTTCAGATGTTCCCACCACAGTGGGAATCAAAGCTCAGTGTTAATAGCTGTAACACCGCTCCTTCCCCAGAAACTTGTTAAGCATGGAAGTTGATGAACAACCAGTAGAAGGATGTTAATTAATACTGGCCTCCAAACAGCATCTGCAGCTCCTAGTGCCTGGCTCAGTGGAAGGGTAGGTGACTAGGCATGGATTTAGGATGTTAAGATGAGGCACCCAGCCTCTGCTACAAGCTCTGACTCAGCTGTTCAGACATACTTCTTGCAGCCAGTCTGCAGGGCATTTACAAGGAAACATCACATACCATTAAGCTATCATGGAGGAACTGTGGGAAGAAGGGCCCTGCATCAATTCCCGAGAGACCAGTCAGCAAATTAACGTGAGTTGCATCATAAAAGTATGACTACTTAAGCTATTAGTCATGGCTGGCAAACTAGGAGACTTACAGCTATCGGCAGGTGACTATGGCATAAAATTCAACATAAAGAAATCGGGTAACAAGAACTCATTCCCTCAAGAGAAAGAGGCAGCAACTTATCCAGGTTTGCAGGTGGAGTTTCCACCCACGCAAGCTGCCTGCATTGCGAGATGTCCCAGCAACTTCAACTGGCCTCTGCAGAAGGTCTGGCTGAAGTAAAGCGGAGCACTAACTAAGCAAGGAAGAGCTCAGGCTAGAAACCAACAAGTCTGGCTTTAATATTCATGAAACACAAGACTGTTGGATCAAGGTTATGAGTGGAGCTAACTGGACAAGGCAGTAGTAAATCCTTATGGTGTCCTGGTTTTGGCTGGGGTAGAGTTAATTTCCTTCCTAGTAGCTGGTACAGTGCTGTGTTTTGGATTTAGCATGAGAACAATGTTGATAACACACCGATGTTTCAGTTGTTGCTAGGTAGTGCTTACACTAGGCAAGGACTTTTCAGCTCCCCATGCTCTACCGACTGAGAAGGCTGCAGGTGCACAAGAAGCTGGGAGGGGGCACAGCCAGGACAGCTGACCCCAACTGGCCAAAGGGACATTCCATATCATGGGACGTCATGCTCAGTACATAAACTGGGGAAAGCTGGCCGGGGGGGCCGCTGCTCGGGGGCTGGCTGGGCATCGGTCGGCAGGTGGTGAGCAACTGCATTGTGCATCACTTGCTTTGTATATTCTATTATTATTATTGGTGTTATTATTATTACTATTTTATTTCAAGTATTAAACTGTTTTTATCTCAACCCATGAGTTTTCTCACTTTTACTCTTCTAATTCTCTCCCCCATCCCACTGGGGCGGGGGGAGTGAGCGAGCAGCTGGGTGGCACTCAGTTGCCAGCTGAGGTTAAACCATGACATATGGTTAGTGATTTGAGTCAGCAAATGAATCAGAGACAGCCCTGAATAGTCTTTCAGAGGAGATACCATCAGCTGACTGGATAATAAAAGCTGAGGTACAGGATACACCAGCAAAACCCAGAAATACAGGTGCTGCAGGTCCCAGACTTGAGCTCCCTCTAACACCAGGTTCCCCTCCGCTCCCAGGTGCCAGGGGGGTTATTTGCTGGGGCAAGTAATAAAAGAGCTGGGGAAGGCAGCACACAACACCCCAAATTTGCAGAGCTCCAATAGCATTTCTTACTTTGGCATCAGCACTGCCCAAGCAGGGCGACGCTACCTCTCGAGTTGAGTCAGTTCCAGGCATTGGCATGGCATTTACTCAAGAGTTTGTAACTCCTGCCAAAGCTCCACTAACCGCTTTGAGCCAGCTGAAGTATCTTAGTACCTACTGCACTTTTTACCTATAAAATAAGTCTCTTACTGTGCATTCAGTATGATGATGCTTTTCCCAGAGCAGTGAAAGCCAGCTCACGGTTTGCAAGGGAACAGCCTGTGGAAGCTCAGAAGAGCACACTGAAGACAGGGTTAAACCTATTGGTACCAGTGATGAATTTCATCTCTCCCAAAATGCCTATCTGCCCTGAGTTCCTCTTCATGCAAAATTGGCCAAGTGTAATGCAATAAAAATACAAAATGTTTTTATTATCCTGTTTTCCTAAAGTAAGCTTTTGATACAGGCATTAGGACAGTTGTGTCTTGTATCCTGATTTTAAAATAGTTCCTAGCTAAAGCCAGGTGACGCACTCAGCTCCAGGGCTACACAGCAACATTAACATTACTCTTGTGTCAGATAACTGGCGATATTTGTTATTATAGCACGACAGACCCTTTATTTAAAAGAAGAAAATACCTTCTCTAGTACTACCCTCTTTGGAAGTAAGGGAAAGAAAACATTCTCTCTAAAAATAGAGTTAAGTCAAAGCCAAGGACTACAGCAGAGAAGAGGAGCAAGAAAAGTGAGGCAAAGGCAGGCTTCTACATGGGGACAATTTTTCCAGGAGAAGGAGATCTGTACATACTTTATGCAGCCACAGGGGAATGTTTTCTAAGTTGTTCTGGGATGCTTGCTTCTGCTGCACAGCTGCCCAGCAGTAGGAGTCCACGTAAGCAGCTTGTCGCCAGGAGAAGGAGCTGGGTGCAAAACAGCTTATCTGAGCACCTGGGAAAACAAAGCAAAAGTTATCATGTCCTCGGAAGATTAAAAAAAAAGAAATGAAGTTTAGGAAGAAAAGCTCACAGTATTTGGATTGGATTGCTTTGGATTTCACAGTATCCAAAGCAATCGGATGACACACAGCAGCTCTGCAGGGAGGAGAGTCACTAAATTTCCACTGCACTCAAAGGGTTAAACTCCCATGGGGCCTCTCTGATGTCTCCTAAGGGTTGAGACAGTCTATTAGAAGCACCTGTCTTTTTGGCCTATTTTCTTAAGTTTTGGGGGGTACATGACCTCCAAGACCTGTCTCTCTTGCTTGCACTTGACTCAGGTAGGCCAAAGGGGAACCGGTAGATATAAAGTGTGATCAGATAAGGCTGGTTTCCTGAGGAAACAGCTACCATCACGTACCATCATGCCACTGTGTTTCCCAAATGCACAACCTACCACTTACATGTTTATTGAGACAAGACCTCAAACACCATTCCCGCAGCCCAGCAGTCCTTGCAGTGCTGCAAGGGCAAGTTTGGCCCAGGGTGCTGCCACTTCTTTTGCCTCTGAGACCGCGCGTGAGTTTTGAGGGGTTCAAGTTACACATGTGAAAACAAGGACTTCCTCATGTAACTTCTGGCAGAGTAACTGTGGCCTCCAGACACCTCCAAAGGGTGCCAGACCCCCTCCTCACCAGCGCAGTGACGTGCTGTGCCCAGGATCAGGCGTACCACCGTCATCCCCACTCGCTCCCAGCACCACTCCAGCCGCTCAGGAGCTTCAAATTAAGATCAGGGCACTAATTGACAGCAAGAGCAGCTATTTACCCAGCCTCAGCCTTAGGGTCAAATTCTGCTCTGACCAGCTACAGGCACCAGTTACTGCAGCATACCTCAATGAGGAAGTGTGGTTATCGTATGTGGAGTATCAGTGGCTCCTTGGATAAGAGCTAATAAAACAGGATGAGGGGTTTTGATTTTCTTTCTGAAGCTTTGGTAGTGAAAGCAAAAAAACCCACATTTCCAGCAGGCTTTCCTAAATGTTGAAACAGGATAGCTGTTTCACCAAACGATTACACAAAGTGGAGATGGCTCTTCCATGAACACCCCTCTTCCAACAGCAACCTCCAACGCTTCCTCCAACACACCACCAATATCAAAAAAGCAAGAGGGGGGAAATATTGCTACTTTTTTTTCCGTAACATTAAGAAAATTCATCAAAATTAGTGCTAATTAATTGTATGCTTTATAGGGAAAAAGTATTTTGTATAAGATTGTATAATTCGTGCCTTTTTGCTGGTTTAGCTTTTAGAGAATGAGAACTTTTGTAACAGGAGCCGACCGCATTTGCCTTGTAACTTATATAGCCTTTTTACAATGTAGCATAGTCAAGCAGCATTATGAATAAAAGCCTTTACTTATGAGTCACTATTATAATTGTTTCTAAGGCTGTAGTATCATAAGGACATGGTTTGACCTGTCACAAGCCTCCCTTATGGAAAACAAATTACTGTTTATCAGACCAGAGCTCACGTGATTTAGCAAAGTTGGCAGCAGACAAGCACTTGCACCCTCCCAAAGCTTCGGGAGTTTCTGCTTTCCAGAGAACTTCCATTAGCTGTGGAAGCTCAAGAGAAAATACACTGCAGAAAAAAAAAAAAAAAGAAAGAAAAAAAAAAAGAAAAGAAAAGAGCAGGCAATTGGAGTGTCTGTCCTCCACTGGATAGGGACCATTTATGCTCTGCTCTCATCACTTAACGAACCTCCTGCTGCTGACTGTGCCCGGTGTGAAGCAGCAAACAAGTGACCCTTTCAAAGGACGAGCAAGAAAGATGCTTTGTCCTATTCATGTCTGTGTATCTGCAACAAGAAACACATTCCCTGTGTTCATACTCGTTAATGGGTGGGAAACCACTGAAAGTGATGGAGTGTTTAAATTGGTGAGGAAGAAGGCAGCCAGCCTCCTCCAAAATTCGTGATGAAAAAGGCAGCCAGCCTCCTCCTCCAAAATCTGTGATGAAAAAGGCAGCCAGCCTCCTTCTCCAAAATCTGTGATGAAAAAGGCAGCCAGCCTCCTTCTCCAAAATTTGTGATGAAAAAGGCAGCCAGCCTCCTTCTCCAAAGAGTTATGTGCACAACTTCACACCAGAATAGCTACAGCAATGTCAGTGGTGCAGCAGAGCAGTGAACCTGGCTCTTCTGATCCCCGGGGTTTCAGCAGGGATGTTGGAAACCTTTGGCAACTTGACTTGGGAGCCAAGCAGATAGAGCTTGACATCAAGCAGAAGCTGGGGACGCTCCAGTTATTGCACTGTTTTTTAATTAACTTATTGCAGTCTTGGTTGTAAACACTTGTTAATGTAAATTACAACTTTGCACTAACCACGGTAATGTTAAGGCTTAAACGGAGAGGTTGTTTTTGTGCATAATCTACACAGAACACAGATTATTAAATGCATCTAAAAATGGTCACAGTTTTCCATCTTTTTTTCCTTCCTTCTCCCCTCCAAAGGAGTAATAGTAATAAATCTACACAGATAATTTACTTTGTGTTGGGCTATTCTGGAGGAAGTGAAAATGAAAATCTGTAGGTTTTATTAGAGGAGAAATTAGGCAAAAGGCCAAACGCCTTCCACAGACCAACTGTGCACACATGCATGCACAGGTCTAGTTTATGAAAGGCTAATAGTCCTCTGCTATCAAAGGAACAGCCTTCTGGCTCGGTGACATGAAGCTATTCCCTGTCCTTTGCTCCCACAAGTAATAGAAGGGGAAAAAGAAAAGCAGCAGCCAAGCCCATAACAACAACATGGAGATAAAACACACAGCAAGAAGGATGAGGAATAATAAATGACTGCATTCATTAAGCAGTTGCCACAACAGTCTTTGGCCAAGTTACCATTACACTTGGCTACGCACTTTTCTTTTAATCATTCCCTGGTACTAAATCAACTTTGGACAGGGAGTGATGGGGATTTGACTTACACTTTTGCAAACAAATGAAGATAAAAAAAAGCCACTCACTATGGTTGCCCTAAAGAGAGACCACCCAAAAGAGCTGCAGAAACTTAAGGCAGCAACAGGTTTGCAGCCATGTATGATAAAAACTCACTTTTACAAATGCACTGAGATTATCAGATGGAGTTGGTCGCTGACGGCAGGAATCACTTGCAGGCATGCAACTGAGTGCAGAGTACAAGCCTGGGTCACCGCAGCCAGTGAGCAGCAAGGCCGACTGTCACCCCACCCAGCTGCCGCACATCTTCATGTGTGCTCTGCCAACAAGCCCCCAGCTACCTCCTCCGTGTCTGTACCAGGAGAATCTTTTTCTTCTGTAACTGGCTCCTCTGCAGCTCCTATACAGCACTGTAAAAACCGGCATGGGGCTGCCTACAGGTGGAGATCCTGTGCCCTGCTAACACCTTTTCATCCACTTTGCCTAAGTCTTGCAAGCTCATTTGGGAAGGATCTGTCACCAGGTGTCTAAAAGAAGATGCCCCAATCCCAGCTGGGACTTCTTGAGTTAAGATGCAAGCAGTGGGCCTTCTCCGGCTCCTTTTGCCCAAATGGAGGTGGAAATTTTGGTATTGATGCTAAATGAGCAGGATACAAGTCACTTCTGTGATTCCCACCCTAATGCCCCTGTAGATGCTTTCCAAAAAAAAACCCACCCTACCTACAAAAACAAACTCCCATAATCCCAAGGAAAATCTCAAATCTGAAGGAGAGAGGCCCTGTTCAGTATCCAGCTGCTTTGCTGGGGTACAAGGCAGGACGAGCATAGAGTTCAGACAGCCAGCTGAACATGAGCTGGCAGTGTGCCCAGGCGGCCAAGAAGGCCAATGGCATCCTGGCCTGTATCAGAAATAGTGTGGCCAGCAGGAGTGGGGAAGTGGTCGTGCCCCTGTACTCGGCACTGGTGAGGCCACACCTCGAATACTGTGTTCAGTTTTGGGCCCCTCACTACAAGAAGGACATCGAGGTGCTGGAGTGTGTCCAGAGAAGGGCAACGAGGCTGGTGAAGGGTCTGGAGAACAAGTCTTATGAGGAGCGGCTGAGGGAACTGGGGTTGTTTAGCCTGGAGAAAAGGAGGCTGAGGGGAGACCTCATCGCTCTCTACAACTACCTGAAAGGAGGCTGTAGCGAGGTGGGTGTTGGTCTCTTCTCCCAAGTAACTGGCGATAGGACGAGAGGAAATGGCCTCAAGTTGTGCCAGGGAATGTTTATATTGGACATGAGGAAAAATTTCTTTAGTGAAGGAGTGGTTAAACTTTGGAACAGGCTGCCCAGGGAAGTGGTTGAATCACCATCTCTGGAAGTATTTAAAAGACATGTGGATGAGGTGCTTAGGGACATGGTTTAGTGGGCATGGTGGTGTTGGGTCGACGGTTGGACTCGATGATCTTAGAGGTCTTTTCCAACCTCAGTGATTCTATGATTCTGTGATTCAGCATCCTTTGGCTGCATCCCTTACCAGAGAGAGCATAAACCCAGCAAGCTGGACTGGTTTCCTCCCTAGTCGCTCAACAGCCCTCTTCTGACTTAAACATCTAATTAAGAAACTACAACTTACAGAGAGTACTTCCAAGAATCAATGTTAATCATATGCTGAACTATTTTTCCTGAACCAGGATCATGTGGTTGTAGTTGACAGGATTAAACCTTCAGTAAGTAATTATTTGGTTTCTAATACACTGCAATCACTGGAAAAAGATTTGCATAAGCTTGGATGAAAACCTAGCCATTAATTACTACTATAATTTTCCACAAGGCAAAATGAACTAGCCACGATACTCAAACACCTGATTTTATCTAGCAAGAATTATCCATGTTAGCAGCCACTAAAGAAAAACCCACGAACAAGAAAATCAAGGCACACATACACAATGTAGACTGCTAGGCACCCTCCAATGCACATCCTCCACCCCAACATTAAAAAAGATTTTAAAATATGAAAAAAGATGTCTCAATGCATGCCAAAGAAGCAACTGTATGTGTGGGTGTACACACATGCATTAAGAACAGACCAGAAGGAATTATTTTATTAGATTTATAGACATTTCCCATGGACCAAAGTGGCAGGTTGGGTGAAACAGAATAAACACTATGTTTAAGAAGTATGGAGAGACACAAATGGGTGCACTGAAGAAAATAACCTGTTCCCTAAGGTTTACTTTGGTAATGGAGTAGTAGCAGAATGGAAAGTTCAGGTGATGCAATGTTGAAGTGGAATGGGTCAGAGAAGCCAGCAAGTGTCTTTCCTTCTCCACAGGGCTGCCAGTTATCCCTCAGAGAAGTCTCAAAATCATGCAGTGGGAAAAGAGCTGGGTGTTTATCAAGCATTGCCTTCAGAGCGATAGGTTTCTTGATTCATGGGAAAAACTTGTGAATGAAATTCCCATCAGTGAGATTTAGGGAAAACAAAAAAAAGTTTTTCTTCGCCTGAAGGAGAAACATCTCAAAACAGTGGCAATGACCATGCGGCTCTACTGCCAACATGGGTGGTACCCCAAATCTCAAGCAACACCAGAGGGCCATGATGCTTTTTAAATTAATTCTGGCACCAAAAGCAGCTTACCATCATTTCCATAGGAAATGTAAACCTGGCTCTGTAGAAGTTAAACAGAAAAAAATCTCCTCACCAACAGCTGAAGATGTTCACCCAAAGACAATTTAGACTTGCCATTAAAGTAAATGTTTTTACAAGTTTGTCCGGCTCCCCAGGCAGGCCTGTTCCTGAT